TGGTGACAGATGGGAATGCCCTCAGCAGCACGTCTACCAGCTTGCGCTTGTAGTTGCGCATCTTCCGATCACACTCCAGTGAGGGAATTAGGGACGGCACGTTGTCCTTGTAACGGGGATCCAGCAGGGGGACCACGCAGTAATCAGCACAAGTTAGAATGTGGGCAACTCGGCAGTCATTGCACAGGCCTAGGACCTCATCATCCTCCACATCATCTTCCACTCACTCCTCAACCTTGCCCTCCTTGCTGGTCTGCACACTGCAGAAAGCCACAGTAGTTGGCACCTGTGTTTCGTCATCATCAGAGACGTGCTGTGGTGGTCCTTGCATGTCCACATCCTGACACATAAAAGTGGTTGTGCATCAGTGCACTCTATTTCTTCCACTTCTGGGGCAGAGCTAGGTGGATGGCCCACGGAAGCCCCGCCAGCAGAGTCATCAAAAAGCATAAGAGACTGCTGCATGACTTGTGGCTCAGACTCCTTTGCTGATTTGCAAGGGGGTGAGGTGAAAGACAGATGGCCATGGGCTGCAGGTGCCAACTCTGCGCTTTCAGCAGGGGGCCGGGTGGGAGACAATGTGCAGGAACTGGAGGCACTGTCAGCCATCCAATCTACTATCGCCTGTACTTGTTCTGGCCTCACCATTCGTAGAGCGGCATTCGGGCCTACCAAATAACGCTAAAGGTTCGTTTGCCTACTCGCACCTGAGGAAGGTGTTTCACTTGTGCGTGTAGCTGGCACAGATCCTTGCACAGACCCTTATTTGACACTCTCCTCATTCTTTGCGTTCACAGACCAAACTAACAGATTGTTTATGTCAGGCGACAATGTAACCGCCAATAGTCAAAAAAAAAATTTTTTTTTTTTTTTAGTTTATTGGACTGCAAGAAATGCACCGCAGGCCGCAAATGTACTATTTAACAGTTTAGCAGCAAAACAATTAGAATGTTTACAACATGCGCTGTAAGCACACTATTAGACGTTTCTATTTGGCTCTCTGTTATGAAGAGCACGCCCAAAATTTACTATTTAGCAGACTAGTACCCAGAAAAAAAGAATTTTTACAACTGCGCAGTAAGCGCACTATTTGACGCTTCTATTTGACTCTGAGATATGAAGTGCAGGCCACAAAAGGTACTATTTAGCAGATTAGCACCCAGAAAATAAGAATTTTTACATCTGCGCTGTAAGCACACTATTAGACGCTTCTATTTGACTCTCAGATATGAAGTGCACACCCCAAAATGTACTATTTAGCAGATTAGCAGCAAAACAATGATAATGTTTACAATTGCTCTGTAAATGCAATATTTGACGCTTCTATTTGACTCTCAGATTTGAAGAGTATGCCCAAAATTTACTATTTAGAAGATTAGCACCCAGAAAATTAGAATTTTTACAATTGTGCAGTAAGCACACTGTGCAGTAAGCTTCTATTTGACTCTCAGATTTGAAGTGTACGCCCCAAAATGTACTATTTAGCAATTTAGCAGCAAAACAATTAGAATGTTTACAATTGCGCTGTAACCGCAGTATTTGACGCTTCTATTTGACTCTCAGATATGAAGTACAGGCCGCAAAATGTACTATTTAGCAGATTAGCACTCAGAAAATTAGAATTTTTACAACTGTGCTGTAAGCACACTATTAGACGCTTCTATTTGACTCTCAGATATGAAGTGCACGCCCCAAAATGTACTATTTAGCAGATTAGCACCCATATAATTAGAATTTTTACAACTGCGCTGTAAGCACACTATTAGACGTTTCTATTTGACCCAAAATGTACTATTTAGCAGATTAGCAGCAAAACAACTAGAATGTTTACCACTGTGCTGTAAGCGCACTACTAGACGCTTCTCTGTTGACTCTCAGATATGAAGTGCACGCCCCAAAATGTACTATTTAGCAGATTAGCAGCAAAACAATTAGAATGTTTACCATTGCGCTGTAAGCACACTATTAGACGCTTCTATTTGACTCTCAGATATGAAGTGCACCCCACTAAAATACTATTTAGCAGTTTAGCACTCAAAAAATTTTAAGTTTTAAAACTGCAATGTGACAGCAGTATTTGAATATTCTATTTGACTCTCAGATATGAAGTGCACCCCACTAAAGTACTATCCCACTAATGTACTATTTAGCACCAAAAAAATTGACTTTTTAAAACTCTGAAGTAACCGCGGTATTTGAAGCTTCTATTTGACTCTCAGATATGAAGTGCACCCCACTAATGTACTAGTTTGCAGAATTCTTTCCTAAGCTGTCCCTCACAGCGGCAGCATCCTCTCCCTACACTAATAAGACCTCATGTGCATGTGGCGCTACGCGACTCCAGCTTATATATAGAGGCTGGGTCACATGCTGCACTGGCCAATCACAACCATGCCATTAGTAGGCATTGCTGTGATGTCTTCTTAGGGCACACAAGACAAACGCTTGTTGATTGGCTGCCCTGCAGCCTTTGAAAACACACAATTTATTCGACGAACACCGAACTCCAACCCGAACATACAGTGATATGTCTGTGTTCTGGTCCGGGTGCAAAAAACTTAATGTTCGGTACGAACCTGAAATTTACAGTTTGGGTTTGCTCAACTCTACCCACCAGTATCATATATTCTTGTCCTGCAGTTCCTTTGTAACATCTTTCATAGCTGACATATTCATAGCTGACATATTTTTGCTGTAGGATGTATATGGAGTTAACTTCTTTGCACAAGGCTGGTGTTATGGTAAGTGACAGCCATTAAAGTGTAATGCCCCTAAGTCCCTTAAAAAACAATGTGAGAACAAAGTGCTACTTAGTGACAGGCTTTCAATAACGCCGGTCAGTAACATATCTCTACTGGGAAATTCTGTAAACAGCCACTACTCACTAACAGTAGTGAAAGGCACTTTAGTGAGTAGCGACTGGCCAGTAAAAAGTAGTAACAAGAATTAGCCCTTAGTTAGATATTTTAAAGAATGAGAGTTCACCTTAAATGTCAAGTCTCCTCTGCTAGTGTACTACAAATTCCAACCTCAATGTTTCAGTTACATTCGTCCTCCATGCTGCCAATGATTCCTAAGATGCAGGCAGAGAATCTGCAAGCTGTTGTGAGAGGAAATCTGACACATTGAAAATTGCTGCACAGCAGTGTACATTTAAAACCTCAGTAAATTTGGTGATGGAACAGGGTACCTTATGTTTTTGATTGTAATGTAACTGATCAATTTTTCTGGATCCAGACAGTTTCTGTAACATAGGACATAGCATCCCGTGCTATTGTAAAATCCCTGTGGGAGTTGATTATAATTAGATGTTCAGTGCAGCATTTATTTTATTGTACACGATGTTTGGCTTCCTCTTTGAGCTTTGTAGTAATAGGCATTCTATTAAATATATAATTGTGATCCACTTGAGTTTAAGAACTGTACCGCATGAAATCCCATTAAAGTAAGAATTCTCTGAACTATTCAACAAAATTGCCCATCATAGGTTAGTAAGAACATTATTGCTCCCCAATCTAATGTTTGGGATTTTAGCGTACTTATATAGAATGTTAAAAACCTTGTTACCTGTGTTTAATGCATTATACAGATAATGTATTGGTAAATTAAAGGTTGGTGGGTGTGCTATGCCACCCGGAAAAAATGTGCAAGGCAGCATAGCATGCCCAGCAGATTGCCGACGCCCCCGGCCCTTCATGCTTACCCTCCACAGCAATCCCGATCGGGGGTACTGCCTGGGTTGTCAGGCAGTCCCAAAACCTGAAAAATGAAATAAAGATATTATATACAGTTTATTAATAAAATACTTAGATTTTATATATATATATATATATTACATACCAACAGAGTTGTGTTGGGGAAAAAAGTGTGGATGAAAACTCCTTCCACCTTAAGGTAAGTGGATAGTTAATACATTGCTAAACACAAATACACACACCAGTTAAGCCATAAGACTTGCTTTTCCCACAGAAATCTCACTTTAACAGTGCTCTCACTACTGCAAGGGATTCTGGGTAGTATTTCGGACATTTGTGAAGCTGGCCAATGTAATTTACCCCACGTAAAACCATATATTTTTGAAAAGTAGACACCCTAAGGTATTTCAAATGGTGGTATTTTAACACCTTAGATGCACTAATTCTACCACCAGTCTTTGTCAAACTTTTGGATAGTCATTTTCTTGTGTTATTTTTCTCTCACATTGTAATTTAGGCATAGATTCTCAGTTCCTTTTATGTGTTATTGACACATAACACCCCAGTATGTGTTCAGCAACATCTCCTGAGTACAACAGTACCCCAATGTAGGGCTTTCCCCTTTTCCATGTTTGCACATTGAAAGTTACCAGATTGGTTTACCATTTATAAAAAGTAGTCTTTTGTAGTAGCCACTTGGCCACAAACCCCTGCCAAAGTTAGCGTTCAAATTTGTTTTTTGCATTTTTGTTACACAAAAAATGCACTTTTACTGTTTTAAACACTCATATTTGTGTTCAGCGAAGTCTCTCGAGTATAACAATACCCCCCATGTACAGGTTTTATGGTGTTTTGGAAAGTTACGGGGTTAAATATAGAGCTTGCCTAGTAAATTCTCTGGACTGTCTGCCTGGGTTGTCAGGCAGGTCCCTCAAATATAATTGTAATTAATAAAATCAAACAATTATGTAGTTAATAGGTAAATATATATGTAGAATGTATATATATGTTTTATTTATTATATATATGTGTGTATATACAAACACTTTTATTTCCTATATTTTATGTATAATATATTATAAAATAATTAAAGCTTTTTATAATATATTATATATGATTACATTATTATTATTATTATTATTATTATTATTTATATAGCGCCATCAGATTCCATAGCATTGTACAATGGAATTATAAGTGTATTTTGATATATGTGTATTAATGATGTCCTGAACGGTTCGCCGAATGGTTCGCCACAGACGGCGAACATATGCGGTAAACTTTGACCCTGTACCTCACAGTCAGCAGACACATTCCAGCCAATCAGCAGCAGACCCTCCCTCCCAGACCCTCCCACCTCCTGGACAGCATCCATTTTACATTCATTGTGAAGCTGCACAGGAGGTGGGAGGGTCTGGGAGGGAGGGTCTGCTGCTGATTGGCTGGAATGTGTCTGCTGCCTGTCAAAGTTTACCGCATATGTTCGCCGTCCACGGTGAACCGTTCGGGACATCACTAATGTGTATATATCTCAAAGTACACTTATAATGAAATCATATATATGCATTATATATGTACAATGTATTATAAAATGATTTCATTATTTTATAATATATTATACATATATAATATATGTATAATATATTTAATTTATTATTATTATTTTTTTTACATTTTAGCTGTTTGGGGAACTGCCTGACAGTTCAGACAGTCCCCCTGCTGGCAGCTCTATAGACTCCTATTGCCGTCAGGTGATCATAGTGATCACATGGCCCTGGAGTGCCAGAGAGGCCGGAGCTGCTGCTGAGGGACTGCTGGGGTCTCGGGCAGTCTGCCCCGGCAGGGATCGTCGCGTATCGCTAGTCCAGGTAAGTCCAAGGTAACTATTTGCCGCGGATGTACCAGGTACGTCAAAGGTTGTTAACGACCGTTTTTTGTCAGACATACCTGGTACGTCCGAGGTTGGAAAGGGGTTAAGGGATAATATTCAGGTATTCATATAGAAGAACATTGTTATTAGGAAAAATCAGCCTTGTTTTATGAAACATAGGTCATGTCAAACTAACCTAATTGCACTCTATGAAGAAGTAAGCAGATGAATAGATCAGGGTGTTTGGATATAATCTACTTGGATTTTGCCAAGGCGTTTGATTCGCTTCCACACAATAGGTTAGAGTTCAAATTCAAAGAAATTGGTTTTGATGAAAATTCTTGTTCTTGGGTAGAACATTGGCTTAAAAACAAAGTACAACGAGTTGTCAGTAATGGTAAATTTTCAAGCTGGACAAAAGTGCTAAGTAGTATCCTTCAAGGTTCTGTTCTGGGACTGTTTCTATTTAACCTATTTATATGTGATCTTGAAATAAGCATTGAAAGTCATGTTTCAGTGTTTGCAGATGACACAAAACTCTGTAAAGAGGGCATTAGATAGATTGGGGAACTAAGCACTCAAATGGCAGATGAAATTTAATGTAGAAAAATGCAAAGTTATGCACTTCGAGGTAAAGAATGCACAAGCAACTTACACCCTAAATGGTAGTGCATTATGGATAATAACAAACGACAAGGATTTGGGAAGAGTTATGAAGAAAGGTTAACAAATGTAAATGTCTTTAGTTTTAAAAAACGGTGACTCAGAGGAGATATGACAGCATTATACAAATCTATTTGGGCTAATGCAAACCATTGTCTGGAAACCTATTTATAAGTATACATCGGACATGAGGTCAGGCATTTAGATTGGAAGAAAACTGATTTAGTCTAAGGCAAAGGAAATGTTTTTTTATAGTAAGATCAATAAGGTTGTGGAATTCTCTGCCTGAAGAAGTGGTTTTATCAGAGTCCATACAGATATTTAAACAGTAACTGGATGCATACTTGCACAAACACAGTGCTCAGAGATATCATTTTTAATTTGTGGGGTAATAGCTTCTTGATCCAAGGATAAATATTACTGCCAATCAAGGAGTTTTCTAGTTTGTTGCAAAATTGGAAGTGCTTCAAACTGTTTTTTTGCTTTCCTTTGGATCAACAGCAAAAACAGATGTGAGAAAGGCTGAACTTGATAGATACATGTCTCCTTTTAGCCTATGTAACTGTGTAGGTAAATATCATCCAGGTAGGAACAGGTGAAGTCCCATAAACCTTCCAGGAGGCTATCAACCATCCTTTGGTAAGTATCAGGAGAATTCTTCATTCCAAATGGCATGACATTAAACTGGTCCAAAAAATGTTGTCAGACTTGACAAAGGCCCTGTGGGCCAAAACGTTGTTTCGACTTTGCTCCAATAAATCTGTCCACCGGAGTGCCTTGACCATCATTACTTTTTTGGACCAGTTTAATGTCAAAATCATTACTTTTTTTTGCAAATCACATTGTGAAGATTGGCCAACCTCAGGCCAGGTTGTACCCTGGGATTCAGGAGAGTGCAGTATCCATATTGGTAATTATATTAAACTGGTACAGGCCTAACAGAGAGATGAATACTGATTTTGGGACTGACTCTGAGACCAGGGTGATCTGCCAATATCCTTTGCATAGGTCCAGAGTGGGAACATAGCAGCTTATTTGTTTAATAATTCATCTACTCTGCGCATCTACACAGTTGTCACAGTTTTTTCATTAATCTTCTTATAATCCATCCTTTTTGGGGACTAGCTGGTGAGTCCCAGGGACTCCTGGAAGTCTCAATGACTCCTAATGCTGTCATCTTTCTTATTCCATCCTTGACAGCTTCAGGAATCCAGTATGTGGACAGTCGGAGAGGGTTCTGTTCAAGTGTTTCTACTCAATGTTTGGTCAGGTGAGTGATCCCAGTAATGGTAGCGAATAAGCCTCTCACACCACTGGGCCACTAACTGTTGTACTTTTTCCTTTTCCCCTAATTGTTCCACAATTTGGATTTGTTCTAGGGTGCAGTGTTATGGGGGTCGTTCCCCAACTTGCATGTATGGCAATTTTCATAGAGGTCTATACGTTTATCTAGAGGTACTAGATAGACGTATAACCGGGCCTTAGAGTGGCCGGACTTAACGATAAGATAGATAAAGACAGAGTCAGGAATAGTCAAGGTCAGGGATATGGAAGTACGGATAAATGGAATAACAAGCTTGGTCAGGATACCAGAAATACACAAAGTCAGAAACAAGACGGGTCAAGATACCAGAATTACAAAACATCAAATACAAGCCGAGATAAATTTCAGGATATAACAAGTGAGACTTACTATTAGCACTAAAGTGTATTAGGACAGAAACCACAATTGGGTAATGATTTCTCATTGGTCCACATCATCTCTGCGACCATAAACAGCATGGGGTCGCCTAGTTGAGATGGCCCCCTTAAGACCAAACTTCTGGAATAAAAGGGAATCATGACATGTCACACATGTCATATGTCCTTAAGGGGTTAAGGGCGTGACGTCATGTTGAAGTTTATTTGCAGGGGCTGTAGTTCGGGCCGTGAACCAGCAGAGAGAGCCATTTGTGGGACCAAAGGTGAGCATAACCCTATTCAGGCTGCACTGCCACGTTGAGCATTTGGGGCGCGCAGTCTGAGGACCGAAGTACTTTGGCCACATGGCCGGAGGAGGGGAGCAGTGCAGGTGCCAGGTACAGGTAAGTTTGTGACAAGCAGTAGTTTCCTAGGACTTTTCCAGTAGATATTTCTAGATATTCTTTGATTATATTGATATGAAAGGAGCACGTAGTGCATCGTTGGAACGTTTTGCTACCCCAGGCGACCTGAATTTTTTTTGGGTCGCCTGGGGTAGCAAAACAGTGCTGCCAGCAGGAAGACTGCCTGAACTGACAGCCAGTCCCCCTGCTGGTGAAAAAAGTTGAAAAAAAGTTAAAATAAAAAAATAAAGGTAATAAATGTTAAAAAAAAAAAAATATATATATATATATATATATATATATAAATATATGTATATATAATAGATATATGAAAACATATATTATACATATATATATATATATATATATATCATATATAATGTCATACTAAGTGTATTTTTTTATTAATATATACATATATGAATATAAAAATACACTAAGAGTAAAATTACACATATATATATATATAGTATATATTTATATCAAAATACACTTAGAATTAAATTATATATATCTCTGTATATCCACTTAATGACCGTGGACGACAAAAGGACGGTTGTTAAGGCCCGCGGATGTACCTAGTATGACCGCGGCAAATAGGAGCCCTGGACTTACCAGGACCGGTGATAAGAGACCGGTGTGAGAGAAACTGCTATGTTTACATTGCAGGGTTAATCTAGCCTCTAGTGGCTGTCTTCCTGACAGCCAGTAGAGGCGCTTCCCCGACGCTTAATGTGTAAATCGCATTGAGCGCGCTAAACGTCCGCAGGAAAGCATTGAGAAATGCTTTTTTATTGGCGTTTTTGCCGCGCACGCACATTCAGCTCAACTCGGGAGCTGACGTCGGAGAGGGAGGAGAGGTCACCAGCACCGAGGGAGACCGGCACTGGATAAAGGTAAGTGGCTGAATGGTATTGTACCTGTTTATTTAGATCGATCATATTGCTGTGTAATTGGCATATGGGGAGACAAGTAAATATTTTATAATGCATTTCTAAATCCTTTCTGAGCTTGTTCCATATAGTTAAAATATTATTTACAATTAGACTATTAGAATCAAATCTATACCTACATTTATTTTTATCTCCATTTTTTAAAAATAAAGTATTTAATTCCTCCTTCTGTTATCCTTTGATATATAGAAGTTGTTACATTTTATACCATATTTGGTTCTTTGCATTATCAGATTGGGTGATGATTGTCTGTGCAATATTACACGCTTTCCATGTTTGTTGTAACTGTGGAATGCCCAAGCCCCCTTGATGAATCCTTAGCGCCAAACAATTGGGACTAATGCATGGGGGTTTCCCTGCCCAAATGAATTTGTAAAATATTGATTGAGCCAGGGACAACCTACTTTCTGGACAGTGTAGATACCATGCAGAAGAGGTAGACCCACTTTGGATTACTGTATGATTTTATTATATTAATTCTCCCCCACCATGATACCTCCACACTCTTCCATTTATTAAGTGTTTTACTTGTATATTTCAACAAATTTAACAAGTTATGTTCCATCATTTTAGTTGGCGCATTAGTAATTTCTATACCCAAGCACTCAAAAGACTTTCTATTGCAATCAAAACCAAAGTTTCCAGATAATTTATTTTTTACTGGTTGCGGTAAATTAAACGGAAGTGCTAAAGATTTATTTAAATTCAATGTATATACTGAGTATAATGAGAACCAACTTATAATGTCCATCAATTCTCCCAAGGATATCAGAGGGTCAATCAACGTAAGTATCATGTCGTCTGTAAGTTTTATTGACTCTCCTGAGACCTCTACTCCTTTAATGGAATCTTTATCTCTTATTAAATTTGCCAGTGATTCTAATGTT